CTACAATCACCGTTGCGCAAAAGAAATAGGGAAACAAAATTGCTGAACGAGTAATAGGTGTGCGTCATAGGTGTTACAGACTTAACATCGCACTAATGTTTCGCGAAGAGGAAGGTGTACGACAGACTGGGTTACGGTAGAAATAATTTGTTTATCCTGTCAGTGACACACTCTGCAAGTAAGTATCCCGTACGTTTATTATATCTTGTAATTTACGGGGATATTAGTATGAAAATGTTTCATATGATTACCACTAAGCACAACTATTGTCTGTTAGAGATTGTTTTTTTCCGGCTCTTGTTATACTCTATTCTAAATAAAGCTATTGATTTTAGTTCATATTTATACATATGTTGTTTAGCTTCTGATCTACACGGTAGTGTGCTCTCATAATGTCCGCCCGCTGAAGTGGATCCGTTGGCGCCAATGAAAGTATGCTGAGACTGATCGCTCTTTGTGAGGTCGACCACGCATACGTGGGCCAGCCCGACGCTGAACCGTAATGCCCCGCAGTTGCCGGGGGCCCTCGTGCCCGATACTCGATCGTGTGTATAATCCAAGCGAATGGAATGCATGTCCGTTCGCCATGTCGACTCGTGCTCATAATCCAGTCAAGTTTGGAGGGCAACACGAAGCAGATGTAGAGCAATGTGTTACGGCTATTGTCGTCAATTCCGTGGGGCACTCTTTCGCCTCCCTCTGACGTGTGTGTGCCTGTGTGTGTAGTGCCCGGATGGGCCGAGGTATTTGGAACAAACTCGAAGAGAGCTGAATGGCTGGTGCGTACAAAGAAACATTTTCATTCCGCCCGGAGCCCTGATACAGTGCACCAGGTTCCTCCGAATTTGAAAACGGCAGTTTATTAATAGCGAAAACAAAAAATGCGATGCGCTATTGTGGAAAAGACTTAAAAGGTAGAGACAACAGTTTTGCTAGAATAAGTAAAACACTTATAGAAGTAAAAACGATGGCTAAGCATCCGCAACGTATGTGGGTAGCACCAAATCACTGAAGGACCGAGCAAAGGGTGTGAACTTGAGTTCTCCCTTTTGTTGTTATTATTGTCATTTTTAATAACATGCTTTATACAAAGGTTTGTTAGATTAATGCACGTGTACACAAGCCAATCATCTAACTTTTTTATGTTATTTTATGACTGAACACGATGTACTGGCTGTCGATGAGACTGGATCATGTATATCTCATGTTTTGGCAATAAACTTTGAGGAAGTACTATTATGATGAATCTGGTAGCCTGTTTCGACTGCGACATATATTTTTATTTAGGTGTAATGTTGTGCTGCGAATGTTTTTATTTTATTAGTTATTATAGCTAGTTGCTGACAGAAAGCGTGCTTCTAATTGTAATAGGAAAAAATGTAATTATGGCATTAATGTTTAACGAAAATCATTATTTAGTTACTTTTTATTCTATTTTTATACAAGATAATTTTTAAAAGTAGTAAGTACTATCATGCAGGTTTAGCGTATATAATATTTTATAATAGTTTAATATCTTTCTTTATTTAAGCGCTCCTATGATTGCCTGTTGGCATATTTATATGTTATATATATCCCGTTTGATATTATTAAAATCCATTATATAGGAAAAATTTCATAATTGTTTAACGTGTATCATAAAGAAACTGTATGATAAAAGTGATACAAAAGGGCTATATTTCCCTTACTTCTTACGTTACGAAGAAACACAGAGATTTTCAAGGACATAACCAGGATGTGTTTAAATTGTGCAATACTTCTTACTGCTAAAGGTATATTGTCCTATGTGTACTGTTAAACGTCACCCCCCTTTTTACCGAAATGATTATAAGATTATAATTATTACCCTTTATTTACTTTATGTCAGTATGGTGGCTGTGCCTTTATGAAAAGTGATTCGGTCGTCAAAAAGGATAGGTTTGAAAATACGCGGGAAAACACTTTAGTTCGAAACGAAAGCAGTTGTTGTACTTACACTTTTTTTTATTTGATTTTATTTTTATTTAATAGAGCTATGAAATGACAATATGCGCTCTAGTGGACATTTTGCCGACGATGAAATTTGGACCAGAAGTAACGACAAGTCTGTGATAATCATGGCAATGCACTTAGAGATTCGAGAGTACCCTTGTACAGGATACGTTATCAACACTATTCCTACCTACATAATTTGCTATATACTGCAAAACATACGCAAATAAGTAGAGAGGGTCAGGCATTTGTTTGTGTATTCTTGAAAATAATAAAATTGGCTTTTGCTATATCACTTTACTACACAAACCGTTGGCCGTCCGACAAATATCAACTTCGTACTTGTCAGTGTTTTGATGATTGCCAAGCGGGCACCACCTACAACGGCTTTTAGGTCATTTCTATCTCTTGAAAGGAACGAATAACCAAACAAAGACTCGGATGTGTGTATTCTCTGCAATTTTCAGGTAGATGTTGCACCTCGCCTAAGGAAAGCACCTAAACCTCGTCCGTCCACCTTGGTCACCAAGGTAAGTGCCGAAGGTCATGTAGCCAAACTTTTCTTGTTTACGGGTATATTATTACAGCACCATATTAAAAACAGGTCGATTGGCCGAAAAACAGGCCGAAATATTCACACGTTATCTATAATATTTATCAATTAGAATTGCGCAACCAGTCAGCGTATTAGCTAATACCCATTGGTTTCTTCATGACATGTTTTTCTTTGTTAAGGAATCACTGCTATTATCTTAAACATTATCGCTGACCGCTCTGTGTCTGTGTGTGTGTGTGTGGGTGTCTGAGCGCGTAAACCCCGCTTATGTCACCATAGTTATTTTTTTCGTATGCTTGTACAAAGCAGAAACATGAGGTTGAAAATACGGGCTAAGCTGATCGGCTGATCATCTGAGTAAGTAAGAGGTGGGAGGGGGGTAGAGTTTGTACAGCTGATATTTCTTTAGATTGAGATTTCTGACTAATCCTAGCGGATCTTGTCGCTAGGATGGCATGAGCTGCACGTAAGCTACTGAAAGTCCCTTATGACGAGCTGTTCGGGTTAATTCTGATAAGGAAATGTTTCAGCTCAGTTCTATTTGCCCACCGAAAAAGTCTTTGAATATACTTGTACTTTTGATATCACCACTTGTTACGATTAAAACTAGCATTTATTATTAGGCTTGCAGTTTTTCTGTTCTTGTTTCGAACAATATATCAATTGAGGATCTGTTTAAATTTATCTGGCTTTCGTAACTGTTCCAATTTGATGACTTGTTTATTAACAAAATGCGCCACACTGACCACCTTCTTTCCTTGAGATATTCTCCAGGTCACTAATCTAAAACTAGAATTTTGCCCTGATTCATTTCTCTAATAAATGTCCCGCGGAAAAAGCGTAAACTACGTGTTACGACGATTTTCCCATCACGACTGACACAGACCAACCCACTTAATTTACATCAGAATTCAACAGACACTGAGGGATATACATTAACGGGGAAGAACGGAAGGGAACAAACATAGAAAAAAACAGGGTGCGTTTTTCCTCAGTGCAGGCATTCTTACGTGCTCTTCCAGGGCTACTGCGGTCAGTGCATCCGTTCCACTATCTGCTTCCTCAAACTCTACATAATTAATTGTACTACTAAATAGAAATTTCTCATTATGCTCACGTATTGACAGTTCAGATGGTCTAGAAGTTTGTCATCTCTCGTATTTGGCCTAGAATTTGGCCTTTAGCGGGCAAGAATTACTGTTACGACAGGCCTTTAGCTACCATGTACATTAGAAACGTATGTTCTACAGATAATAAGCTTTGGCATTTTTTCCGTAGTTAAAATTTAGTTGAAGTGAGCGTCATGTATATTGTGTTAGTCAATATTAGGCGGGTTGGTATGATATTAATGATATTGTCAGAACAATTTGTCCGTTCATTCTGTCCAAGTAGCCTAAAGGGATCGTTGTACGAGTATCTGACAATATGTACATTGTAAGACTCAGTAAGATTGTTCCTTGTGCCGATCATGCTACAACTTCTAGTTTGGGCACTGAGACATATATTCATCTCGTAACTTGCTACTATGAAAGAGTTAATAGTTAGAGAATTGTATTTATTCGATCGATGACTATCGTTGAATTTATCTAACTTCATTCCGTCGAAGTTTTAGCAAAGATCCTTGGCTCCTCAAGGAAGTCGTTCTCTATCTTTCAGCTCACTAGCATTACATTTCACAGGTCCACTAGTAAACGAGCTACTCTGGATTGGTTTTTTCAATCAAATAAAGATGCATCATTTGGCGCTCATTTAGGCCTACGCCAGCGTAAGCATACTTGGTTCCTTCTATGCGAATTCACTGAATTGCTTTTTGCTCATTTTTTCTTGCATTCTCCATCTACACGCAACCGTCTATTGCTTCTTTCACTGCTTGGTTTATTGCTCGTTCGAGCAGCACTTCCGAGTGATATTGCGTTACTTTGTCAAACGCTTGCGTTCTTCGCAGAGAAGTACTTCAGCCCAATCCAGACTTCAGCTATGTTCCCTGATCTCAGTGGCAGCACCAGCAAGAGCACCCGCGCATTGGATTTGTGAGCTGGTCAGCGGCTTCTTTGTTAGTTCGTTCACTTTGACTGATCATGGTACTACTGCTGCCGTCGAAGCGCCACCATTATGAACGGTAACGGCGGCAACAGAGGCAAACAGGACCTGTCATATGCCCCCTGCTCCACAGCAAAAATTACGCATGGGCTAAACACGTGAGGGCTTGGCAGCGATGTACCGCGTCGAACGCCCCGCGTGCCTAGGCAGAGCGGGGGCGTTTACCTCAAAAATAAAAAGAGAAAGTTCCCTATTGCTGTGCTCTCTTCCCAATTTCCATCGTTCGTCTCAAGTTAGACATACGTCTAGCAGCACAACGATGGTTGTAGCTTTAACGGTGGTAACGTTAACTATTATAGGCAGAAAACGTAAGTATCAGTCGCGTTAGACGACAACAACAGCAACAACAATAATGTATACACGTCACTAACACACACACATATATATATATATATATATATATATATATATATATTAGTGTCGATAGTTGACTAGAAAGTTGTTAGACGTAGTGATCTTTAATTGTCGGAACGGACTGTTTACCTAGGACCACTTTTAGCGTAATCGTTATGCTGCAACTGGAATATCTCACCTTATAGTGGCCTTATGTGAAGGCATCGAGTGCGGTGCAAAGCACCTCATCAGTGTTTGCTACTGTGCTGGGCCGCGCAGAGGTTATGCAATCGACTAATGTTTACTAATGGTAATGCCGGAAAAGGTAAAAATAGTACTCTTAAATTTGTACCGTTTCACGTTGTCTGCTAATTCTTGTGCATGACTAAATTCGTAATGGCAACAATCACAAATGTTATACCTATCAAAACTTTCGTTAAGTGATCGCAGAAGTTTGTATCGTTTAAAAACTACCCATGTGTCTATCGTCTCATCGAAAATGGGCTTGATGATTTATTGACTGGACTTTCGGCGAGACAATTCTGTCTGAAAACGGTGCGTCTCGGAATAATTATCTTTTGCCAAAAAAGTAACAGAAAGACATTTTTGAATAGGTATCTCAAAGGTTGGGAGTGGCTAGGTAGAGGAACGTTCGTGCATGAGTTACCGGTTCGAAGCGAGACAACATAATTGATGTGGCTCATTACTTAGTACGATTGAGATTAAACCGTTTGAATATGGAATTAGTTAAACTAACGGAATAAGTTCGATAATACGGCAGTGCGTCCATAATAACAGGCTGATGGGAGCGTGAAAAATCGAGTCAAACATAATAGGACAACAAATATAACATAATAGGACAACAAGGGGATAATATAGCTGTATGAGGGAACAACTCCAACGTTGTTCCTAATTCGGTTTCAGGCTGAGAATGCCTAGACCTGCAGCGTGCTTGCGTAGTCGTGTTTACATGCGCAAATGGGATAAGTGCTTGAGCTTGAGTTAGGGTGGGTGGTATATATATATATGACCTTTCGTATAATCGATTTGTTGCAAAGAATAGTGTAGGATCTAGCGTTCCATAAATAATGTATTGTGATATTATTCCTATAAGGAAATAATATTTTCTGGAAATGTGTATATTGTTCTGTAAAGACTTACACTTAGTTTCTGGCATGGCTTTATTCGGACTGTCCCTTTCTGTGCTCTAAAAACGGTCGCTAGTTTTGGCCATCCAGCTGTTTTTACATATGATCTATGGAAGCACCGAACGAACCATGCATTAATTATTGACCTATTACCTATGTATCGTTTTATTACATGCATTTGATTAACATGCGACTTCACGCTACCCACGCTACCAAGCAAGACGCGGCAAGGGAGCTTCAAACACTCCGAAGACCTCGTTAGCTACCACCCCTCGTAAATAGCTCACTTACGATGTTGGAATAATACATAACGCACTTAACACGTGTTCCTATGTTTTTTCGGGTAGAGAAACGACCACCCAGCATTTGATTACGCCGACGCGAACTAGAAGACGGGCGTGCGCCTGCTAAGTTCCGTCCACCATTGCCCAGTCGTCTAAAGAGCTCAAACTTACATCAGCATTCTCAATCGTTAACGTCGCTAGCGTCAGCATGTTCTCCCAAAGTTCACCTATAACGGGTTTACTTTGGGTTTTTTTTGCTGGCCTATTTTTCGGGATATACAGGTATACGGGCTGACGAGTACTTTCTATTGTTTTGCTTCCTAAGTCGTGTGGAAGTAAAGAGTCGCAAATCGGAAGCAGAAGCTTCGGTCTGCTCCACTGTCAGTCACGGGTTGCCGGTGGCTAAGAACAATTTCGTTATGTTGTCCTCATTGCGGAACACAGCTATCCAGAGAAAAGCAGTCGACGCTGTGAAAAAATACTGATTTTGGTATGCGCAGCTTTACGTGTTCCCTCAGTGGAATATTCGGGTAATATTTAGGTGGCGGTACATTAGACATAGTACATAGTCATCATCATTTCAAACTGTGCGTAATCGTAGAGAATCTGCGTCTCGGCTAGAGCCACCGTTTATATATGTTGCTGGCTTTTTTGACTTACAAGGTAGTTATTAGCAAAAGTTTTTTGCTCACTTTTTTCCACTCAACTTACCCGATATTAGATGCGCACACGATCACTGATCGCACGTGTTCTGCCCGCTTCGTGTTGTCTTGCGGACGCATGCGTACAGGCTGGACAATCGATGTGCTTTGAGCGGTTTTGACCCTAGGGATGCCAGAAAGGGTTAAAACGATGAGTAGAGAAAACATGCGTCGTGCAAAGGTTGTAAATGCATGTTCAAGCAAATAACTGGACAATAGCGATAGAAAGTGATGCGACTGAAATGCACCGACCGAGTTTCCTATTGGGATAAATCGGACATGGCCGAATGGTGGAGGGGTTGTTTTTATATCTGCCCTTACTTATGTCGCATCGCAGTTGGATACGGACACCACTTCAACTTTGCCCCATCGTTCCCAACACAAGTTACCAGCTTCGACTGCGAATGCTGGGACGAGTACGATGGCTGCTCGGTCGATGTTACGCACTTCGCGTTTACGTCCCATGAGCTACTGAATCAGTTTCGTTGTTTTACTTGTGCTCCTAGCTGCCTGCCAAAGTGTGCTGCACTAGCTGTAAGTGCCTAGACTATCACCACTGCTGCTACAACGACTGTAAAAATTACCGCACGTATTAGCACCATCACTACCAGGATATCGTCCTTCGGCTTCTCCCTCAATTCTTTGTGACTTGCTACGTAGGGCCAGGGAGGCTACACGAGACTGACGTCGAAGGACGAATAGGCAGGCCGGTGAAGAACCAAGGAACGCTGCCTATGTCGATCGGTGTCTGCTAACGATACGGCAGGCATAGGATACCCGACTTGGAGCACCCGTGCTCATTGCTTCCAACCACTGCACACATCACCCCTTTTTGTTACTGGAAGCTCTTTTTACCCCTCGAACCACCACATAATCAGACTGTGCCGACGAAGGACACTAGGGTGGAAGGTGGTGGGAATTTAATCATGTAAATGCGATTTGTATGCATAAGGATGTCGGCAGCACAGGGGGGCGCAACTACAAGGTGTTGGGCTGAGCGACCGCGTTATCGAGACGTGGCTGAGGAAAAGTAGAGAGACAGTAGGATAGAACGACTAGACACGGTAGGATAGAATTAATTCTGCCGCATATTGAACGGTACGGGTCGAGGAGAGAGCAAAACGGGCCAGGCCTGCAAACACGACAGCAGCCTGGTTTTGGTAGGATTTGTGAATAAGGCAAGAGAAGAAAAATAGCCGGCTAAAATATCCCGGCCACATTACTGTATGTTCTCGATGTGCCACTGGCGTAGACGCTAAAAAAATACATGCTTCGCCTTTTACTTCTTTTTAGGAACAGCAGCTACTAGATATTAGACCTCTCGGAACCACTGTGCAACCGTCCCCTGCCTACAGTCGACTGAGCATGTAACGGTTATCGCGACGGTATGGTTGTAATGGGCTTATATTTTTCGCTCTGTCAGACGGAAAGCATCGGCAAAGTAGTCAATGTGGACCCCCATCCGTCAGAAACTCTTGAGTTGTTTTGGTAATAAATAGCTATTTAATAACGCGAAGTACCGATTTCCTCATTAATGACGCCGACCTATCGACGAACCTCGCTGTCTCACCACTTCGCGGCAATTGAAGCATCTTCTCTCACCCTTTGGAAGCTCCATGGCTGTTGAGCTCAGAGGCGTTTCATCGTTCATAGAACTCATGAAAAAATCTGAAAAATGACGCCATCTTTTTTAGAGGATTTTTTCATTTTTCCGCGACTTGAAGACTATAATGATATCGAGTGGCCCTAGATAGCTTTATGTACCTAGTTGATTGACGACTATTTTTTTAATCAATATTTTCGAATAATTTCGAAGCTATTCCGCTTTTGTAATATTGACCTTAGATCAAGGCCACTCTGCGGCGTTTCTGCTCCACTTCAATTCATCGTTGAAGTACAAATTACTGCCGAAACTAGCACAGCGAAATGACAAAAAGATTACTTGATGGTCAGCTAATTTTTTGAATGGAATTTTTTGTTTACCTTACGAAAATAACCCTCTGATGTCGATCGCTTAGTAAATGTCTGGCTTGAGCTTGCGCTCTGTATCAATTCGGTTTCATTCGTATTTGGTCGGTGTGCTCATGCAAGCAGTACATTTGTGTACAACGGTTTCGGAACAGATCAGACAAAAACGAAATTTACAGATGCGAATAGATAAGCATATTATTATAAATAAGACACAAACTAGGGTCATATAATATATAAATGGAAAAAATAGAGCAGACGATTACGAAATGTTATTTGTCGAAAGCTGGCACGGGCACAGATCCGAAAGGTAAAAAATTACTGCACGTTTATTGTGTCTGAGCCTATTTTTCATAATAGCATATGTATGGCTCATACATGATTTCATCACAACGTATGTTTACTCTGTGATATGACGATCGCGCATGTCTGCGCAACTTTATCATAGATGTTTTGAAGTATCGTTGATGCACAAGTGCTTACCACTTGAACTAGGGCTCTCGCTTCGTCTGTCGGTCGGTCGGCGAGTTAAACGCTGCTCAAGCGATTTCGGTGCAAGCATACATCCACGTTGAGTAATCATTGATTGTAGAATTTTTCTCACCCATCAGTCCATGCTATAATTACTTAAGGACCGCATATATCGATATCTGTGGCCGATGCTGTGAACAAAAATGACATAGACATGGCGGTAGAGAGCTGGCGACCGTGTTGAATTGTTGTAGTTGGTAGAATATCTACCTGCGAAATGGTAAATGTCCATATTGTCTCTTGTGTAGTAGTGCTAAAACTTGAATTGAAATTCGGGATAAAGCGATCTTCGAACGTTCTAGAAGGGTAATACCACTATGTAACTGTTATACAATATATCTGTTGGCGTCGAGCAAAGCATTTATTAAATATATTACCTATCTAGCTGATTGACGACAAATTTTTAGGTAGATCTGCACAGAAATTCCACTGTGTCGCCTAAGGCTATCCGAAATAGCGAAACATCATCATATGTTTTGCTTATTTCAAAATTAATCTTTTTGTACAGTGAAACACATCCATCAATTCTAGTTTGAATTTATCAGTGTGCTTCTTACAGTAAACTAAATAACACCAATTTTTACTTATTGTTATTATTTGCGTTAGACGACGTTATTCCTTTACTCACTCACTAATACCGTCTATTTGTCCTTCGTCCATCTCCTATTAACAACTACTTGTGGACATACGAAACGGCCAATGATTTGGCCTATCACAAGCTTCTCCAACAGTGTCAATGTCATGACACCGAAATTGCACCCCCTATACGAATCTTAGCAACGTTCACTGACGCCGGGCTTTGTTATCGCTGACAAAACCCATGAAGAAAGTCAACCCATAGAGTCACCGCTCAGTACGATCTAACCAGTGAGAGCGTCGAGCTGCGTTTGGATCACGCGCCGCAAAACGAGCCCAGCGCCGCCATCACTCCCGCGTCCGATTATCTTTAAAGGTCGACGTCGATTTGACTCCGACGGTCGCGTCTGTCGGGATACTCAATGTTTACATTATCCGTCCTTCCCTAACTATATCCCCTTTTTCGTATTCCCCTGTAGTAGGGATTCTTCTGTTGTTAGATTCTCTGGCTCTGTTGTCTATTGGTAACTCCGACTGCTTTCTCTTCTTCTGTCTCTCCTTTTTTACTTTTGAGTGGTCGAATTTTGTTTATCTGCTGCTGCTGCTGCCGCCGCCTTTGTAAAGGCTGTGGCGTTGACTCCGTCCAATGCTCCATTATGATTTTCTGCTGTCTACAATAGTTGTAGCGATTCTGTAAAAGGGGAAGTCGACAAAAAGAAAGAGAAAGGAGGCAGAAGAAGAACTGCCATCGGCACCGAGCAGTTTTCAGGAGAGTTGAACTTTTCACTTCGAATCGTCATAATCTTCATCATCATCATCGGCAACAGCAGCAGCAACACAATCACGACCATCATTAGGACAATCGTAGCCGTTGTCGCCATCATCGGTGCCCGAGCTGTTGGCAACGTGTCGATAACTCCAAATAACTCTTTTTCTGTCGTTGCTATTGCGTGTGCTGCACCTTTAGGCTCTGCCGGTTCCTTCGTTTTTCTTATCGCAGGGAGCTGGCGGCTGGTCTGACACGCTGGGCCATTAGTGCAACTTCACCAGCAGATCGACAAGGGCCCACGCGCAGTCCTTTGCACGTCGCCTGTATGCCCACAAACTGTTTGTTCCCTCTTGTGCTCGTTGGTACAACAGATGAACTGTTGCTGACCTGATTTTATCTGATTTTTGCCCATTTTTTATTAGACAGCAGCAACAATAGTAACAACGAATAGCTATTATTACTGTCGCAATTAAATTAATACTGTTCGCATTGCTGTTACGGCTGCTTTTAGTGGCGTTGATGAAGCCCCCATAATCGCCGCAGTTGGCTCCGCTTTTCTTTCTGTCTTTTTACGATGCGACTCGCTACACAGTCCCGTCTCTCGGCAACACACACTTCGTATCTCTATCAGCAGTCGTTTACACCCGCGTTCGTATGCGTGTCGATTCATGTCTTTGTAGTTGTGTCTTGAACTGCGGTCCTCGTGATCGCAGGGCCCGCTACGCCAACCTGTTCTGTGGCGTTGGGTAGAAAAAGTAAAAGACTCTTCTTCATTCGGAAACCGGTGTGGTATCACGCCCGACTAGACTAGCGCTACTGGCGAAAGTAGCGAATAGAGGCAAAAAATCCTACTACGATTGGTGGACACACGTTTTTCTTTCAGTTTCGTTTCAGTGGCATCCTGTTGTCGCTAGCTTTGCCGGTTTTCATCCCTTCATGCTTCTATCAGAATCAACGTGGTTGAAATTGTCGCTTCTGTTCTACTCTGTCCCCGACTGATGAGTTGCGCTGCCGGACAAAACCGTCCGCGACGCCAAAACCAGCACCAACAGCGGCAGCGATTTCATGTTGTCTCTATTTCAACTGGGCTGTTCATGCTGGGCTCGTTGTGGACTGGTTGTTTGGATAACAGGCCGGGGCGGACGATCGAAAATCCTCTCTCCGCCGCAGGAACAAACATCGGACGTCCAGTGTGGCCTTCTGCATGCGGCTTTGTTGCTGCGGTGTTTCTGTTCCATTCATTTCATGTTTGTGGCTGGCTTTCGCGTCTGGTTGGCTGACGGCGTCTGCTAGATCGATGTGACGACTCAGATTCTCCCTGTTCGTCGCCTTCCCTGTTGACGACAACGTGAGCCTCGCCCACTATCGGCGTGACCCGAAGTTCGACGAAAGCGGGCTCTCTTGCTAGAGCTGCTGCTGTCCCTTATTGCCGCATGACGTTGCTGGTGAATTGGCCTGCTGTGAACGACTCAGTTGCTTACCTAGACTTGTTTGTTTGGTTGATTTGCTGCTGGCGGGGGCCCGAGACGCGAGTGAAACAGACGAACCAGACTCGTACATGCTCACAACAGCTCATAGGCGCTCATGGTCGCCGAATACGATGATTGTGAATGCTAAGGCCGCGGCTGCTATTATTAATATTATCGTCGTTGGGGAAAGCCAGAGCAGAGCGGAGCAGAGAAGGCAGCAGCAGCAACACTCAGCACGGCTAAGAAAGCAATAGGCAACGGAAGAATCCAGCAGCGATAGTCAGGGACAGTCAAAAGAGAAAATGGCTGTGGATGACGGTACCGTCGACGGCGGCGGCAGCAGCAGCAGTAGGCACCTACCGTATAGGTACTAACATAAACACAAACCTCTCGTTACTCCATAGACGCTATTGAATAACAGAATACACCCTATAAACAACGACGAGCCACGTAAAATCGCGGCGTCTAACGCATCGGCTACGTTAGCCACGCCCGCACCAAACATTGCTGGTGCTCGCTTATTGTTGTTGTTGTTGTTGTTGTTGTTGTCATCGTCAGCGCATTGAACTCGATAGTATTATTACTACAAGGTCGGCTCCTACTGGTGAAAACGACAGAGAACGGCAAGCCGCGCTGAGTTTAACTGAACTGATCGTTGCTGCGGCTGCTGCTGCTGTTGTTGTTACTTGCTGAGCTGAACGACTCTTTGAACGGTTCCGTCGGAGCAGCGTTTGCTTTACCGCCCTCATTTAGTTACGCCATATTCGCTGGCGTAGGAAAAAGCACCGGAGCCATTTCCAACGATAAGAACGCAAAAAACAATTCGACCGGTAGCGCAGCATGGACGTGTAGTCTGCTACAACTCCAGCGGTTGTTGCCTTGCTGCCGCCACACGGCGATACGACTTCCAGCAACAACAGCGCCAGCAGATGCAGCCGCGTCCATTGCAGCAGCAGCAGCAGCGGCGGTGACGGCGTTGGCGGCGCCCCTTATTGTAGAAAAAAAAGACGCCAGCAACTGACTGATGCTCCCGACCAGCGGCACCGTCACTCCTCCTCTCTATGGCTGCTAGGAAGCGATCGGTGAGCAACGTTGAGCTCCAGTAGCAGCCACCAGCTGCCACCGGCGGCGCGCAAGACCAGAGCGGCAGCCGCACTGGCTATAGACCAGAACACCAGCGGCGGCCATAGCAGCAGCAGCAGCACCACCACCAGCAGGAGAAACAACAACAACAGCAGCAGCCGTAACAATAGACAGCACGTACCAGCAGCATCAGTGGACGACAGAGCGCTGCTGGCGCTTAGTAGCAGCCGCAGAATCAGCGCCAATAGGGTCTGGTGGTGATAGTGGCGAGTGACTTTCGTTGGTCGAATGAGCGGACGGACAACTGGACGAATGAGTAGCAGCAAATGCAGCAAGATGGCGGCACCCGGTGGTCGTGCGCTCCAACCGCTGGCGCTGTGTATGTTTCCTTAAACGAAAACCGGAGAACAAACGCGGGATATAAAAACAAGAAAAAAAAAACTCGAAGAACTGAATTGCGGTGTAACCTATGTAATAGCAAAATTGAGAATCTTGTCAAAGAGTTCCGCCGGTTAAAGGCTAACAGCAGCGATTGTTGTTAAGGCCGAGCATCAGTGCGATGGTAGCGCCAACGTTCATGGAGGACCAAACGCAACAGGCTGGAGAAGTTAAACAAATCTATGTAGAAAAAAAATTTCTTATTGTTGTTTTTCAAAAATAAAGGACACAATCGTGTCCTGAACAAACGACAGCTGAGAAAGAGAAAGAAAGAGAGAGGGTCCATTGCTCTTGCTGGTTATTCAAGCCAATTGAGTTTTGTTGGTTGTCATCGCAATGCGTGAGTGCGCTGCATAATATCGGATGGATAACTTGTTGTTAAAGCAGGAATCAGGCTGGTTGTGCGATCAGCGTGTTCACTTACTGCCACTTCGAGTGTTACTGGCTTGCGTTGTCGCCAGTCGTCGTCGTCATTGCTGCTGCCACTGCCATAGCTGATTCTGTAAGGAAGATGATAGGGTAGAACCGCCTAACTGAGATACGCCACCGATGAAAAAGCCATAGAGAGGCAGTAACTACGCGAATGAAACAGAAACAAGAGGCCAGGTTAAGCAAAGAAGTCAACGCAAACAACACAAAGCACACGGCCGTCAGTCAGCCAGATTCGGATGGAACTTTAGCCTCCGCTCTCAAGTTGTAATGTAACTCAACGGAAAACTTGGTCACCATTGAATCAAACTTCGGCGGCGTTTTTCCTTTTCTGCAGTTGGTTTTACGCAAAACATTGTTACCCATACAACGAACGTGTTGTCGGGACGTTGCAAAACGAGCAGCTGTTACTACAGATCCTGCCGAAGAAAAGAGCAAACGCTGCGTCGTTTACGACGCCAGCGGTAGCAATCTCGACACCAATTCATACTAAGAAAAAGGATAGTATTAGTTGAAGCTGGCGCCCTAGCCAGTAGATGTAAAGTGGCCTATAACTGGTATCATGATCGAGGCATTTATGCACATTCGGATAAATAGTGTTTACTAGTAATTTATAGAGTAATACAACGCGACGAAGGAGGTGAACAAAGAGGTTGTGTGGTTTTGATCAAGGGGCCACCCGCTTACTCTCTACAGTGAAAGGGAGTCAGTTGGGCAAAAGAGAGAAAAACAACGACAACGATTAGTGTCCATAATCTACTGTATAGTTAATGAATAAGCGCCAATCAAACGTGGATACGATTCATGGAGTAAAAATTATTACAGTCTGTAGTATTCGTCCGTCACTAGACAAATCGTGTACTAGTTTCTGCAAACGTGATAACGTGTTTTAGCGGATCTCGAAGTCGACCTGTTTGTCTGGAAGTAACATTTTGTCCAACAAGTTTAACCAGAACTATTAACTGCTTAGTTGGACGGCGCGTTCAAAACGCTTTGTTTACGTAGGTACTTTGCACAGTATCGAAAGTCGGCGAGACATCGCGTTGCATAAGATGTTATCGTTAGTTTACAAGCGTCATTAAGTTCAGCGGATTCATACCAAGGTTGTGCTCACCGAAACGACTGGAGAAATTCCAGTAACGCAGCGCACTTCATCTAGGGATACGGCGAGTCAAGATTTCTACAGTCGTTAGGTCAACTGCCGTCAAAGTGTTGTTGCGTTTCCACGAAAGTATACTCTACGATAACATATTAAAATCACCGTTGTAAGCCAAAAAGCGTAACATCACTATAGGTGTCTGTCAGCCTTTTTCATCGATGTGACAAACAAATCTATCAATACTTTCAGTCACCGAAAACCTGTGAATAGCCGAGCTACCTAAATATTACCATTACAAAATACGAAAGTCGTACTAGCCTGTGTAGAGGGAGCGTCGCGCAAGATCTGCCTGAGCCCTAACATAGATCTATCATCTACCGCCAAAAGTGCGCTCTTCCTGGATGCCGACTTCGCAAAAGCATTAACAGCGTCGACTGATATCGAAACCAACGATACCGTTTAAGTCGGAAATAGCTGCGATTCAGATCGCGTATTACTTACATAAGAACCGCTGTTGCCTTTCAATGAGAAGGTGTACGTGAACGTATACTTAAGGAGTAGCACTAATATTACACTGGCCGCTTTACTCAACCCTATTTTTTCGTCTAAAAGCAGTTTCTAGCCTTTGTGTGTGACATCCGTCTACACACTCGAACTCAGCCCAATCTATTGGAAGGACCAAGCAGTTAGAAGGTGCATCTCATAGATTCAACATGTGCGTGTTCGGCTTCGTCGCGCTTTGCGGGCAGTGCTAGCCCCCCACAAAGCTCTGAAGACACCCCTTCCCCCATCACCAACAACTGATTTCAGAGAAGGGTTACTTATACTGCTGTTTCAATTCAGCAGTAACGAACGTAATGTGCATGAGTGAGCCTACTTGAGACTGTGCTAACCCACGTACTCTATGGGTGAGCTGCGTCTGCATCGAATACAGAGACCACCTCAGACACCGACCACTTTGTTGTGTAAATTGTGCTGGATGTTGTGTGTGTGTGCACAAGTTTGTTTGGGACGCACGCCCAGAATACGGACGCCCGAGTGGTTCGAGCGGATTTCGTCTTACCGTGCGTCAAAGTGCTGTGGTCCGTGTGTGTAAGTCCCATAGCGCGCGTTTCGCAGACCCTCGTTCTTCGGTTAGGAAAGCTGTGGCCACCAGCAGCAAAGGCCGTTAACCCGGTGATATTTCGAATGTCGCAAGTCGCCTTGCAAAAGAAATCCAACGAGACTGGACAGCATATCAAATACTTGCTCCGGTCTGTTGCCGACCGCTTGTCATGGGCTCCATTCACTGTTTCTAACTGAAACAAAAACAGTCGGTTGCTTTACTTCTCAGGCCCAGGTTTAGCCTCTTTATTCGGGTCTTGGAACGTATAGTCTGCTGAAAGTTATCGCCAGTCAATTGCGTGTATGTTATACGTTTCGTAGCGTCAACGTGCCAACATCGTCACGAGGTTCAAACGCTGGCTCCGCCCCATATGATGATCTGAAACGAAAGGGGAACATAGCTAAAAGGATCAGCCGAAAAATTCAAAAAGTTTTTGAAATTAAGAAGTAAAAACATCGGCCAATCAGCGTATGGCTATCGTACAATACAACTGGCGTATCCCCCTACCCAGCTGTGGGATCTTCTCTGTTATTGCTAAAAAAAGTCGTAGGAGCAAAGATACGTCTAATGCTGCTATTTCCGCGCGTCGTTTTCTGTGTGTCTTGCTTTCTGCTGTAGGACTCTGACGCTACCCACTCCTTGACGAAACGTTGTGCGCGTAACTCTCCCTCGACAAACGCTTTGGCTGACCGTGCCCCGCGCGCCCGCCGAAGACTCGTAACTAGCGCCCTTTCTTTACTCTGTAGTAGCGGGGGTTATCGGAGCACTGTCGGTGTGTGGAGCGTGCCTGTGTCCTCGGCTCCCGTGCGCGAAGCCGAGTAACGCTGCCTAGCGGCGCGAGGCCCGCTAACAGCCATCGCCAGCTACTCTTCTCTACACTGATCCAGCTTGCGTTCTCCCAGAGGCGCAGGCACTGGTAATAACGGCGGCGGGTTCAAACAGGAGGCCAAGCAGCTTTAGAGCTAAGGGTATCTAGGGCAGGCAGGTAGCCAAAGCACTGTACCCACAAACCGATCGAACTCACTCCTGCATCCGCTAAAAGCGGTGGTGTGTTTCCTTTGAGTGTGAGAGCCGCGGCTACGGCGGCAGCGGTAGCGATAGCAGCATCAGTACCTCAAAACTAAAGCCCCTCCTGCTGTAAACGTAGCAGAACCTACAGCAGCAGTAACAGCTGCAGCAGGAAAAGCGGCAGGCTTGCGTTGCCGTTTCGGGCCGCTGCAACAGCAGCAGCAGCAGCAGTAGCAGCAGCAGGCGCAGAGACCTTCGGTGTGTCGTCTCTCAGAGTCGGCGAAGTACGGCACTGGTTCTCGTTGCCGTACCTCCGTGGGTCCTCCGTGCTGGTCCTTGACGACGTCGTCGACCGCGACATATTCCTTTAGACGGAGTACAACCAATTGCAGCCCGGGGTTTTGGAAAGAAGGACTTTTCTGTAACCGAAATCGACAGTTCTTCCAGTCAGCGACTGGCGGCTGGCTATCGCTTGCAGTGGCGGAACCAGCTGAGGGCAAGTATTCCAGTACAAGCGCAGACGGCGGCGGAGCAACTGGAATCCATACAGTGAGTTCCGTGAGACGGCGCGGTGAGTCCAAGTGAGCAACAGGGGGTACAGTGAAATAAAGAACTGTGCTATTCTGTATGTGAGCTGGCTAGTGTACGGAGCTAACGAAGGCAGCTCGCGATAGGGGCTACGCGGCTCGGATCCGAGATGAAGACGTGCTAAGGTGAGCTGCTTTCTATCTCCGACCAGACCCAGCGCTAGTGATAACTTGTGATAGCAACCACTACTGCAACACGGATAATGATGACCGTAGGGACTACAACAGACTGACCAGCGACGAACAGGATAACGTACCAGAAAGCAAAGGCGACCTTAATCAATATACGCAGCAACGAAATAGCATCATCGACAACAGCATCTTTTATCAATGCACCATTAATGAAGCTGCTCTAGAAACGAAACGCTACGAAAACTGCTGTAACGACTAGGTTCGTTGCGATTAACACAATAGGCGGCAGGAAGAGGAAAAACTCGCCGTCGTGAGCGGCCCTTGAGTGGCGAAGGTTTCCCCGTGGATGGCAATTCTAGCCGGTAGGTGTACAGCGAAGTACCGTGACGCAGCGCCGTGGGTATCAAAGATCGCAGTCCTTCTGCTGGGCAACTGCTGAGCTGAAACTAAACCGCAAAACTATCATCCTGCAGGCGGAAGACGGTGGCGTCGCACGTATAGATCTCGAACACGACCTGCAACTGTGGCAACAAGACGAGGCACGCAATTTCATGGGACGGTGTGTGCTGTCGAAGGCGCGCAGAATTCATCAACGGATAAATTCAGGCAATCTTTGATAGGAAGGAAGCTTGTTTGCCAGCTTTTGACCCTAGGGGCCTTAAATTTAAGGCCCTGTAGAAAGGTGAATATATAAGTACAACAACACAGACGAGAACCAGTTGTGCACATCCGTGTGGGCTTTGCTTTTCTCCCCGTAATCTTTGCGCATGCACCAGCGATAACGGCCGTGTGACTACCCGTCTACGCACCCGTGTTCGAGCTCGTCAAGAATCTGAAAGGATTGTTGTGATTAACTCAGATCTTTCTAGACGACACTGCACTACCAATGAGCCGTTCCGAGCTTAGCTAGTACTTGAGCAGCAGTGGAGTTCACAAGAGTGTCCACGCACACACCAGCTAATCGCAGGGTTCGCTAGATCATTGATAAGCTAAAAGTAAGCAACGGCTTCGCACCGAAGTTCACGTAGGCATCCGTAGTACATTCGGGGTCCGTAAGGAAGGAACGCAAAGCGACCATATCAATAGCGATTTCGCCGTCCTCAACATAGGCGGCGCTCGCGCATCGTGACGCGTGAACTAGGGAAGACCAGCCTTTCTGCTAAGCACCTGTCGGAGTCAGGTTTGTGAGCCTGAAAATTCCTGCCGCCAACAAAGCAAACAAACCAGCAAGCAGACAAATAAAAACAAGCCAACTAGCTCGTTCAGTGTCTCCGACGGCTTCACAGCAGGCTCGCCTATCTCTCTACTAAATCAGCCCTGCGTGTACGACTACTAACAAACTATAAACAATAACTGGAACAACAACGGCTACAATTAGAATCACTAACTATTCATCTGTCTGCATTGAATACCCGCCCTGACTGGTGCTCGTCTACGTTTTAATCAGCCTGACACGCTAAACGCAGAGGTATACATCGGAAACAATAAGGCCAATCCAGCCAATATTATTGTGTACTGAATCGCAGGGTCGAAATTCGGTGGCAATCAGCTGATCGCGCGCGGGGTGTACACAGCAAGCCAGTAAGCAATCCTATCAATACACAGAACAGGCTTTAGGCTGTTGGCGCATTGAGACGAAGGCTTCAAAAAACTTTTCCAAGGAAAAACTGCGCGACGAAATATCAGAAACCTAGCCCAAAAAGCACCTCGTTTATTGTAACAATAGTTACGTAATAACCTTCCTTACTTGCTTGACGAGTGGTTCCTTATTGTGTTCATGCTGGATTGATCTCAAATCAAAGGTCCTATTAGCAGAGCTTACCTTACAGCATTGACACCTTCGCATCGTTAGGAAGCAAACAAGGTGTTATCATCGATCGTCCTTACGACAGGACAAGTGCGGTCCCTTTCCCCTAGTCGAATACAAAGGCAGGAAAAGCTGACTACCTTAAAATAACTAGTTTTGTGTTTCCAGTCCAAAGCGTTCGGCTGGATTAACAAGAGCGCCCATAATAATACATTCTGATTCTCTAAATATCAACAAAGTGGAGAATAACATAAGGTTGCAAGACTTCTTAATTAATGACAAAAAAAGTCATCGCTAAAATTTGGAGCGGTTATCCACCAACAAATGTCCGTAAATTTTCGCTTGGCACCATAGAGGCAAGCCTAAGCTTCAATGCAACACTGAAGAGGCAAGAAGAAGGCTTTACGATATCACTTTGTTGACAACAAATAACAACAAATCAGTTACTATCACGCCAGCACGAGGCAACCAATATATCATCATATAACCATTCTATATTATAACCACCAGATCAGAACTAAAATTGTAACCCATCACATGTCTCATGTGCTCTTCAGTGTACGTTTAGGACTGAGACAACCAATCAGGCTGCAGAGCTGTGTCCGGAATTATCGTGTATAATAATCGCCGAAGACGGTGGTATTATTAGCGATTCAATAAAATCGAGAAAGAGAACGAGCGTAAGGTAACAAAGAAGGTGTTGACTAAGCTAACTCGGTCAGTTGACCCAGACAGTCAACTATCCCAGACCCGCTCGCACTGCAATGATCATCATCATCATTTGAGACAGATTCACCATCAGCATTGCAGCTGCTATTGTTCTCCTGAATGCACTATTTCATACGGCTCTCACACGTACAGCATAAAACAGCTAACTAACTGGTGCAGATAAATCCAGCTCGTTCAACAGCATCAACAACAACAACAACACGCTGACAACACCAGAAGAAACAACGGTTGATCTTATCATTACCTGAATCTCAGTGCTCGTTTGCCCAGCCTTTGTGTCTTCGTGTCTCTGTGTGTCCTTGTGCGTGTGGGCGCGTGTCTCTGCGGGCGTCTGTGTGTGTGTGTGTGTGTGTGTGTGTGTGTGTTTATGTGTATGTGTGTGTGTGTGTCTAAACATAAACAGATACTAACTCGAATAGACTTTGTGTATAACTACGCATCGTATATGACGACGATCATTGAGAAAAGCAGCAACACAACCAAGCGAAGGGCAACAGTCGCCGCCAATACAACGTCTAGTATATTCGCGACATTTGCTCGACATCTGGTCGACAGCGACCGATGGTGGTTAGCGGTGATTCAGCTCAAGTGCAGGGCTGTGCAGTGAATGATCAACAAAGTGTGATAGGAGATCGAAGAGCAACGAGAGTAGAGAATATATAAAAATCAACGTTAACAAGCCAGCGACTTGTTATCTATTTCCTCTGCATCCGACCCGAAGGCCGCATCCACTGCGAGGGCATCGACCACTTGTCACATACGGCGAACATCGCAAGACGTCAAGTCAGACTAAAGTTTTCGAATGAAGAAGAATTGAAAGGTTCGAAAATTCGCTTTTGGTTCAAGCGCGATATTCATTCGCTATAACGGCCGTTGTCAACACCGTTCCCACCGTACCAAGGCCAGAAGAGTAGGACAAAGTTATTCACATTGGTGGCAAGCAAAAAAAAAGAACAGAAAAAGGTACAGCTACCACTAAACCGAACGGAAGATAGCAGGGATTTCCGGTAACAGCTAGATTTGACTCCCTATTCCGTCCGACCCAGTTGCAAAAACAAGCGTGGCCATCATTCGACCAATATTCCACCGCTTTTTAGCCAGCCAAACTCAGTCAGTGCGCGCCGTTTCCGTCAGTAATATCCCGTAACAAAAGACGCCTGGATAGAAAACGAAAGACGCAAGCAATTTCGTTTGTTGTCCGTTGTTCGCAACGGGCGTAGCAGACCTGCAACTTGCTCCAGCTCTAATTATTTCAAAAGATTATTTACTAACGTAATTAGAACTGAATATATTCAAACGATCTGATATTCTGGTTCTGCCTGTTGTGCTGTCCTCACGTTCACAACAGACTGCCCATAGTGGGGCAGGAAACGAAGTTCGGGAGGGCAAAAAGGTTCGCGCGCCGTCGTTCATAGAAGTGTCTATAGATAGAGGTGAGACCGAGGCAGGGCTCAATCAACAGGATTAGCAGATACGGGGAGCAAGCGAGGTTTGCCATTTAGATCATAATAATAATAATGCCCCTAACGTTAACTGTTCAGAGTAACGTAACAGGCTTCGTAACGATAACAGGACAACAACAGGGACATCAACGACCTCACACGGCAGACGACAAAAAAGATCAAAAAGAGAATACAATTCTACAACTGTCGTCTATCACTGTTGCTCGGAAAACAGACGGTAGAGAAGCCTTCTATAGCGAAAGCCCTCTGCGAGAAATTTCGGTCACCGCTCAGAACGAAGAGATCGACGCGACACCGAAAAACTTGCCGGAATCCGAATCATCACAGAAGTCACGTGCAGCCAACTACTACTGCAACGATACCAACAGCAACAGCAACAGCATTACCAACAACAATAACAACAAAATTTATAACAAAGCTACAGACACTGCAATCTATAGTGAATATAAGAAAAATCTAGCCGAAACTGACTACAAATTTCAGGCGTACTCCAGCAACGCCATTACACTCACCACCAGCCCGATCATTGCACGTACCGTTCAACAAGCTGAACAATAATACATAGGGCTATGGCGTGTTAGCCTTGCGTGAATCAATCAAGAACCCACCTCTCGACGACAAATCGACAAAACGCAAATCAACGCTAAATACCGACCCCTATAAGGGTCGGGCACCGCTAGAGCATACGACAAATCTATACATCAAGTACACCGAAATAAAGCCACACGTACTATTCTGTATTATTGAAGCTTATTATTAATTGTACTGGTAACTGAATAATAATAATAAGCTAGCAACCAGTTGCTGGAGCAGCAACAGCAACCGCAAGAAACGCTCGAAAGTAGGGCGAAGAAGCTAAATAGACGCCGGTGAAAACGATTAGACTAGTACAAAAGCGACGAGGAAAAAAATTCAACATCAATCTAACACCGTTACATCACCCGTAGACTTTTTAAAATCTAGGAAAGTGTTAAACGAGTCGATAAAGTATTGTAGCAAAAATTAAGTGTCATTCAACAGTAAGCACCACAGCCCATCTAAGTCCGATATCCAGGACACTGTAGAGCAACCCTGAAATTCGTGACGCCTGGACACGCGAAGTCATCGAGGAGAAATATTATTAATATGGTTACTAATCATTCTTGACTAGCTAAGCCTGATGAAAGGCCAAGCGTGTGAAACAGAAACAGCCAGGTACTATTAGAAAGAAAAGAGAGAGAGAGAGAAAGATAAATTTGAGTGTGTGTGTATGTGTGTTTGCAAAGAACGGCAAACACCCGAAAGTCGCGAAAACGGCTAGCGTCCGATCCGGTCACGGAGGTCAGGGCGACCTGAAATCACGTTGTTGATCACCCAGCAGATCTACTACCAGAAAAAATATACACAACAGGTGCAAACCTGCGACGACGAAAATTAACTACGATTTCGCATTCGGAAGCGGCGTCGACTTTCTCCTTCCGTTTTTAATAAAAACAACAACAGAAGCGTAAGCAGCAAGGTAAACACGCAGCTTATTAGTGAGAACAAATCAAGCGTCTTCTAGTTTTTCGTCCTTTTTAACTGAAGACAAACACAGGAAGAAGCAAGTTGAAGGACGCTGTAACCAAGCACGTTAGTTGCCTATCAACGCTAGCCATTTTAAACAACAATAACAGCAGCAACAGCAACAACAACAACAACAGTAATAATTATAGTTATATACGAAAATACGTTGTGGTCTCAGCACGACACGAGCCTGCTTGCTGCTACTGTTCTAAAAGCCACGAGTGGTTTTAAATTTCCCGCGAAGATGGTGGACGTCTGCACCGATGTTCGCACTCAGCTGCTTAGCTACTTTCACAGCCATCCAGGGGAGAATGTGAAAACTATTGATCTGTGCCGGGTGATCAAGCAACCGAAGAAGGCTATCAACAGTGTTCTCTACAGACTTCAAAGGGATGGCGTGCTGCAGAAGGTTGTCGAGAGTCCGCCGACCTGGCGGGAAACCAATGCTTCTCAGTCCATAACGGCCGGCCCGGGCTCTGACGGCAATGCCGCCCCAAGTCTGGCTGCATTACCCGGCGGAGGCACCCCGGCGAACGGTCCGTTTCCAGCGATAACTGGAGGATCAGCAGCTTCAAACGGAAGTGACTCGCCCGTAAACCTGAGTAATGGTTCCCCTGAACACCATGCGATCGTGTCAGCTCTACCGCCCCTCAGCGGTCAGGCACCCGTAAGTTCATGATATATAAGTTCTTCGAATGTTCGGTTAGGTTATGTTGTAATATGGTGCTATTATATTTAGATGGATAGTTTCGAAAATGAGGGGTAGGGTACCAACTGCTTTTTATAATATTAGCTTTTGTGTACATTTTTGGACGCAGCCTTTAGATTAGAAGATTAATAGACCTGCACTCACACCAATTTGGACTTCATTTTAGTTTTAGCTAAGTTCGCGATAATGTCTTGGCTTTGAACACACGTCCATGCGCTATTCTCTTACATACTACCTACTCTAAAAAGTGAACGGATACGATATTTTGGGATATACTACTTGGATCATCATATGGTGCTACCTCGTGTAGCCTGTTATTATTATTATCGAATCGTTCTAACTTCTGGGTGGCTATTTTACTAGGTAATGTCTGCCCATTGACTACGTAATCAGCTGAAGTATTAAATGACGTATTAGGAATACGTAGGTCTAATTATTCCTTTTTGCGTTTAGAAGTTAATTATAATTGTCTTATAAGTTTTGTAACAGTCTATACTTGAAATGTTTACATGAACGTCAAATCACAGGCTGCATCGTCAGCAACGTTTCTCGAGTAAAAGTTTGTCCGTCGGGTGTATGTTGACAAAGAGCTCCACCTACATGTTAGGTGCTTGACGTATTTTTTACACTACGAATAAATATGTCATTCAATGTAAGCAAGTGACCAATGCGCAGTCACCACTTAAGATCGTAAAATACATGAAAGGGTCTTCACAAAAATATATATACAAAATGAGAACTGTCCCGTATATGCGTGCGTATACTGTATCGCAATTAGTACATCGGAATAAAGCATACGAAACGTATGAATTGGCGTTGCGTAAAGTATTCACTTCCACTAAATACGTGTTTGGATATCATGCGACCCGGAGCCGATACTTAGCTCCACTCGAGACTGTGCCACGGTCCATTTCGATCCACAAAGTATTTGTTGCGTACGTAGAGGATCACCGCCTCTTATTCCCATATCCTTTAAGGGATTTCATTTTTTATCTGGAGCAACTAGTTTGGTGCTAATGGTGACGACTGCTAGAGCCGTTCTCTTCCAAATGTAATCGAGCTGAAACCTTCGTCTATTATTATTCATTTCATTTGAAGCTATTATACTATTTCTACTGATACTACTTCTGCTAAATTAACTGTTTTTTTTTTGCTTTTCCCCCTTAGCGGTGCGTCTCCTATTCTTTACCGTTTGCCGCGGTTCAGTGAGTTCTTTTTCTTTCACGGACGGGGCCAATCCTGGGATCCCGGCCCGAGCGATCACGAGCGACCAAAAAGTAGCCAAAGAACTAAGCCAGCCACCGGCCAGACAAGTTTGTCTAGTAAATGTCGGCCATTGGCTTCTACTATTGCTGCTGTTGTTGAGACGATCAACTGCAACGTAAGACTAACTTCTCTGAGTAGTTGACTACAGAACAAAACAAGATATATTCAGCTTAACCACCACTTACTCTATATATTTGGCATACTCGACGATAACGGAAACCAGTATGCTTGATGAACGCGAATATTCAATATATCGACGCCTGTTATCTGTCATAATGCAAAAACGCTTTATAGAAGCGGTAAAATGCCTGTAAGGATATCATATTGATACAGTAGCATCTACACGACGAGCTAAGGGCTTGCCCAATACGGTTCTGATTCTGATAGAGTAATTGTTCTGTGCATGAGAAATCCGTATGTCTAGCCTACAGAATCCTTAACACCATGGGCTTGATAATAGTACAAATCAAATATTGTTGCTAGAACCTCGCCCCCGGCGGCAGTAATGTGTGGGCGTACACTCGTTGTCCACATCTTTGGCGATCTGCGCGCTTTGGCAAAATATGACTCAGCAAAAGTCGCTATCCAATGGTATAGTCAGCTGTATTTCCTATGGCTTGACGATTTTCAGTTGAAACTGGATGCCATTTTTATGAAACTCTCAACAACGCTAGCAGCGTTAGCAGTGGGACGGAGTTGTAACGCGTAGAAGTTAATTTCATTTTGATTAACGGTGTCTCATTTTTAACGTGTTTGAGTTTATGCCGCACATAAGATACGAGATATAATTGTTCCTCCCTTGGACTTCTTTTGAAGTACCATAACTGTCTTCTAATTTTCGTCTCCACAGTATTTGTACCTGTCGCAGGGATAACGTTGTGTGGAATACTAAAAAAGTCGACAAGCTAAATAAAATCATTCAGGATTATTTACATCTTTGACTTTTAGGGTTTAATAATTTTTATATTAAAGTTAATATATATATATATATATCAGTGTTGTGTCACATCACCGATAATTACTCATATCACCAAAAGTGAAGAGTTATTAGATTTCATCTGTTATCCGCCGACCACTACAGGTTCTTGGCCCGTAGTCGATAGGTTTTTGCTTGAACTTAGCTGCCGATCGTTTAGAACTTTCTCTTTCTGTTCTGCCGAATGCGATGTAGGAATAACCATCGCTTCATGGCGACATCGCAATTTCATCGTAGAAAAAAGAGGCGAACCTTGTTTCTTAGACACTAATTACATTCGCCCGTTTGTTTATTTGATCCGAAACATACTCAAGTACATGCTAGTCTATTTTGTCTACTATTTTTTGTATTGCCTGACGATTTTTTGCTCACCAGCTTTCAACAGTCAAAAACACTTTGAATAAGGTCTCATTATTTCTAACGACTGGAAGTATCCGACACTCGGCCAACACATTCTAGCTGTTAAAATTGTTGCCATTGATCTGTTGAAGTATGGTCCAGCTAACTTTCGACTTTATACAATTTTCCTGCCTGCTGCATGGTACAGCATCGAATCGAAAATACATACAAGCAGATATACGCAGCGTCGAATCTTATTTGATGCGCGGTCCCGGTGTTACCACAAAGTCCGAAATATTTTTACATCGTACCGGCCTGTTCGCTATCCGTCCCATTGGCCTTCTTGTAGGATATGACAGCATCGAATGTGAACCGCAAACAAAAAATTGGGTTACGGACTCTATAGGCTTTGCCCATATTCTAGCCCTGTTACGCGGCAGGCCGGCTGACCAATCAGCGTCGTTCATCGTTCCGCCGCGCGACGACTCGAAAACAAAATCAAGAGATATTTGTTAGGAAGCTATCTTAATGTATGTATAGAGCAGATGCAAAAGTTTCTTCCTGTTGAATAGAAAAAGCGAGAAGACAACGAGCTGAACATTACCGCCGCTCTGGCTTCGGCCACTCTGCTGAGCCGCAGTTACAGAACGGGTCTCCTTTTAACTCTTTTTTCACCGTCACTGCCTTTCTCTCTCTCTCCCTCTGTGACCGTGTGTATCGCGCACACGGCCAAATCGCCGGAGTGTAACCCCGTCGACGGCAGTACCGAACGACGTTCTTTAGGTCAAACGCTAATAGCTTTTCAAATGATGCCGCCACCGCATCATCTATGGCGCCAACATTCAACCAGTGGACAGACAGTCAGTTGCGAACCATTGGTCCTCACACCAGACAGTTGCATAGCTGATTGTTACTGCTACGGATTGACGAACACGAAGCCTTTTCTCTATCGAGCTATGTTGTTAATGTTGTTATAGACGTCTTTGGCTAGTAGCGCCGTAGAAGGGGCTACGACGTAACGTGCCTTGGCTTTAGCGCTCAAAGACCAGGATAAGACATAAACATTCCTGTTTTTCGCCGGGAGAGAAACGACGCTAGGAAAAAGCGAAGAGAAGAGTTAACATAAAGAGAGCAGCTAACAGCCAAATGACTAGAGCCAGTACGGGAGCAACCGCGTTTGTTAATGCTGCGACTTCGATCAAGCCTACATTGGTAGCAGTCCTTAGAGAACAACTAGAAGGGCATCTTGCTTTTTCACTGTCTTTTTTTTGCTCATGAAATTATCAAGCTTTGCTCCGAATATCGACCTAGTGTTGGCGTTGTCCGACACTGCAAGCCGTATTCAAGCTGAGCCTACATCTACAGCAAACGCAGTGCTGGATGACTGACTGTACGTTGTATCCGCGTTAGCTCGAGCACAGGCAATCGAGCTCAGTCGGCGGCGAGTTGAGGGCTGTTTGATGATCCTCAAGCTCGATGTGACCAAAACGGTAAGCTGTCCTCTGCGCCGTTCGACGTCGGACGCCGCGGTTTGCAGATGACTCGAGACGATGAACGAGACCATAGGAACGATGCGATTGAGATGAGCTGGGGTCACACAGCGCGGGTAGGTCACGATGCTCTTCCGGAGCAGTGGGACGCACTGGTTCGTCCGTTGTTGAGCAATCCGCTGTTCGTCTGTTGACAGCAGTTAGACGCCTCGAGGATTGAGGTGTAGTCGACCAACGCAGTGCCTAACATAAGCAACGACCCCGAGGTAGTAGCGTCTATTGACCAACGTGAACGACCCCCGTATTAGTAGACAGTTGTTGATAATGTTGTGTGGCTACTGTGTAAAAATAATATTGATACAATGACAACTACCATAGTATCGGTAGCTACATGTAGCATAGGCAGTCAGGCAAATGCAGCGTCACAGAGGAATGCGTCGCTACAAATGTCGCTAACATGTCATAACTGAATAGAGGATAACGTTCCGTTTGCTCGCGTTAAGAACAGTGCTAACAAGAGTTGAATTTGCTGCCGTTGCGGCGTAATTGGTGCTGGATATGTCAGGTACCTGGCGGTGCACACACTTCATATAGTAGCAGGAGCACTTCTTTTTGGCCACGTTATATGCAAACGGCCAGTGTCAACGGTGTGTTGACACTGGCCGTTTTGACTGTTGCTGTCGGTGCTTTCGCTACTGCCGCCGTTGTCGTCGTCGTTGTTGTTAGATCTGACTTGCTGTTAGCAAATATCATTTCATAGTCTGCCTGTCTTCGTATGAGTGCGATGCCGCTCTTCGTAGAATAGCGGAGATCAATGGAGGGTTATAGATGAGCACGTTCGAACAGTACACTGTCAGCGGCCGCTAAAACGGCTGGCAGGGGTAAAT